CTCAAACAAGAGAGTTGAAGTGAACATGGGCGGTGGAAATGGCTTGTTGACCACGAACTTGGGAGTGATATGGAAGCTACTAAGACCCTCCTGGTGTCCACATCCCCATGCAAGTCTAATCGAGGAAACCACAGAGCGAGTGAGGTTAGCACCAACGGAAGATGAAGATCTGGCGAAGTTGAGTGTGCTACATAAGCTAATCACGCCCCAGATGCAAGAGCCAAGCGAAAGGACGAGCGACCCCGGGTCAGTAAAGAAATTGGAGCCGGGTAGCTGTCTGGATTCGACGTGTGGGAACGGAGAGCATATCTGCGATGGACGGTCATGCGTCAGAATACTGTCGTTTCAAAAAGAAGACCTGGTCACTTGGTTCGAAGACATCACAGAAAGGGAGAAAAGTGAAGTGCAAATAATAGCGGAATGTTACGCGAGAACCACGGTGAATATAGCGACAGCTCTCGGATTCTTCTCGAGAATGTGTGGTCTGCAGGCACTGGAGAGACTGGAGTCTGAACATCATTTAGTGACGGCGTTGAGCGTGGAATCATGGCCCGGGGTGTTGCAGGTGACTCAAAAACACATCCGGAGCTGGAAGGTTGGTCTTGAGGCGGAAATGGGATTTCCCATGAGCGAAGCTTATGGCTTGCCATTGAACGCGAAATCGCTGATAGGGTCAATGATGGCCAACTTGTGCGGAAGTCACTACCCGCTACACATGGCGATGGTGGAAGTGTCCAGCCAGAGAATACTGGTGGACAAGGCCTTCTCGGCGCCCAAGTGCGTGAGGTTGGCTCGGATGTCGCATCACTCGCACAAGTTGTTGAGAAAAATCAAAGGGACAGTACCAAAAGAATTGAGAGATGACTTAAGCGAAATCTGGGGAGAAGATCTTCTGAAGTTGGAAAGAGAAAACACGAGCGATCACGAGAGACAAAACGTGATCGGGAAACCTGTGGGAAGTACTCCGAACCTGGAAGACAACGACACGATGCACGAGAAAATGATGGAGCTTGAGCCTCTCTTGGAAGCCTCAGGGGAGCGTAATCTCAGGAGCATTGAGATCTCTCATGGGGAATGCCCATGCCACTGTTTGGCACAAACGGTGTGGTATCCAGATCACAAGAACCTTTGCCTGGTGTGGGATGTGGAAGAGATTCGGTCGATCGGACTACCGGATCACCGGCAGAAGGTGACGCTCTTAGTAGTGAGTACGATGTTAGCTCTGAGATGGATAGAAGAGAATATAACGAAGTATCGGGAGGCGACGACGCCAACGGCTGAGTCAATATACGCGATAGACTACAGCAGGAGACTCGAGTTGTTTGAGACTGCGTGCAAAGTATTCGCCATACCGACGGAAGTCAGGCACGTATGGAGTCGCTTGAGGTACTTTCCATGGTTTCGGGCGACACTGACGTCTTGGTTGTACATGGCAACGAAAGATCACATGAGAAAACATCAAAAAGAGTATCGACAGTTCCAGGCCGAGATTGGGCCGGAAGCTTTCAAGAGACCCCTGCTAACCCATCGTAATGCGATCACGACGGGATGGAAGAGAGTGGGTAAGATGTCTAGAGACAATACCAAAGCGAGGGAGTCGATACTAGAGGAAGACCTGGCGAAGAACGTGAGCTTGAGCCTGCACAACTCCTTTTGCTTGAACCGAGAAGCTAGGGTGAAGGCACTACCCAACCAAGCAAAGAGATTGCAGGAGCAGAGAGAATGGATGCGATCCTATGAACAGCTGAAGGCTTGGGAGGAGATTGTGATTAGTTCCGATGATGAAGAGGAACTGTTGAGACAGTTTGCCGCATCTAGCACTTCAGGATGCAGTACCTCCAAGGCGAAGAGTACGAGATGAATGGGCAAATCGGATGGATCTTGAGTCTTGAGAGGGAAAGGGGGCTTGAGCGTGGATCCGAGTGAAACTTGGATTCACGAAAAAGAAATTTTAACAAAGCAAATATTGTTACTAATATACTATATTTATTATATAAATCGAAATGCTGCATGACAAATTCCTGATTGAATAGGACAAAAGAGATTTTAAAATGATTGGCTTGAAAAGCGAAAATTCAAGGGTGCAGGTAAATGCAGATTTTGGTTGCTGTTTAGCAATAGTGTGAAAATTTTAAATGGCCGTGAATTTTGGGGTGTAGATAATCTTGAATCTGCTGCAAACTTCTGTAAATGACCACTGGCACTGTATCTTGAGCAACACTCGGTTTTCTGGGACTCACTGGCAGAAGACAGCACGCGATGAGGACATCGATCTCGAGTCCGGGGAGTATGTGCCAGTCGGTCATATTTGGAAGTTTGACCTTGAGAAGAGCAGAAAACACTTGATTTTGGAGTGAAATTTAATTTTTCAAAATTTCGAATGGAACATGTCATGCACGATTTTCTCGCGATAACTGAAAATCAGAAAAAGAAATCAGAACAATTTCAGAACAATTGCGGGAAAGTTGTCAGATAAAAACGAGTGGGAAATTGCTATTCGCAATTTCCATCATAGTGAACAAGAGTAGAGCTGTCCTATCTGAAATAGAAGACAGAGTATTCCCGAGAGAACAATTATTCGAACTGGACCAGAGTGAACCTTCGACGGAAAGGTGGACAGCTTGAGTGTCCCAATGGTCCACATAAAACTGCAGTCTAGAGTAAAAACTTGTTCTTGTTGTTAAAACTGACTGACATTAAGCTCATTTTAGTTACTTTGTTGACTCTTGAGTTGTTTACCGACTTATTTACTTCCTGGTTCTTGAGCGTGCTACAATGTGAGTACTTAATTTAAATTCTAGAGTGTGTTTTATGATCGTTATGTTGAGGTAAGGCGAGTTTTAGGTTGATCCATCTGAAATGGATCAAAGTTCCACTGTCTAATAAAAAGTAACTTAACGGATTGTTCCAACCCGGTTTTTAACGGCGTTCATGTATTTTGGGTATCTAGAGACCTAAGTATGGGGACGTTTCTAATTCTAGAGTGGGGGGATATTTTAGTAGTAGCCTCTAAGCTGTAACGGGTCGTAGTCTCATGTCACAAGCGAACCGAACTGGCTCCGACCGTTCTTGAGGTAGAAAAACACAAGAGATAGTGTCCCTGACCCTTGAGCCAGTGGTTATAGGGCCTATTTTTCTTAAGCCTCATGTGTGACTGCAGTAGACGAATGTTACACAAGTCTCCTAGTGGTCCGTTTCGATCCTTGTGAACCACTTTCCCACTCGACTGGTCACCCTTTCCAGTCAAGTCTCCTAGTGGTCCGGTTGTGTCGCAATCTATCTGAAAACCCTTAACAACGCCCCCCACTCGGGCACCTTACTGAAGTCACTGGTTTAAATTGCTAGATTGATCGAAACGATCGGTCTTATAAAACAGTATGTGTATACTATTTAATTAATACAAAGGTTTGATCCAACTAATTTGGTATCAAAGTCACTGTCTTTTTTCGTTTTATGGTTTTTGTTCCTATTTGTATTCTTTTTTTTTGCTCGTGTTTTTGTCCCCCTAGTTGCCCCCCTCACTCGGTTAGCTAAGCCTCGTTCGGAGAGCGTACCAGGAAGTTTTCTTGAGTTTTCTTAAAAAGCTATCACGGTACAACCGGAAGGTTTACACGTTCCCGCTGAACCGTACCACCGGTACTCTAGAATGGGCATGTAGCCCGGAGCTGTGTCAAGTGGGTTCGACTCCGTAGTCATGATGTCGTAAAAACACCCAGGAGCGCCATAAAAACACTATGTAACATTCGTCTACTGTAGTCACACATGAGGCTTAAGAAAAATAGGCCCTATAACCATTGGCTCAAGAGTCAGGGACACTATCTCTTGTGTTTTTCTACCTCAAGAACGGTCGGAGCCAATTCGGTTCGCTTGCGACATGAGACTGGAACCCGTTACAGCTTAAAGGCCACTACCAAAATACCCCCCCACTCTAGAAATAAAAACGTCCCCATACTTAGGTCTCGAAATACCCAAAATACATGAACGCCGTTAAAAACCGGGTCGGAACAATCCGCTTAGTTACTTTTTATTGGACAGTGGAACTTTGATCCATTTCAGATGGATCAACCTAAAACTCGCCTTAATTCAACATAACTATCATAAAATACACTCGAGAAATTTAAATTGAGAACTCACATGTCGATGCACTTGAGTATGAGGAGTAACTAAAAGATAAGCAGCTTGAGAATCAAATAATATAACTAAATAAGTTTGATGCTAATTAGTTTTAACAACAGAAGTAACTTCTGTCTCAAGAATCAAAGTTTCTGAATGAACCATTGGGACACTCGAGTTGCCGACTGTTCCATTGAATGTTCACTCCTTTCCGTTCGAATAGTCGTCCTTTCTCAAGTCTGTATTCTATTCTCCTGTTTTCAGGATAAGACAGCTCTACTCTCTGATTATTTCGTATCGAGAAATTGCGAATAGCAATTTCCTGTCTTTTTCTTGAGTAGTTTCCCGCAATTGTTAATTCGGTCGTTCTGATTTTTGATTTTTGCGTTTTCAGTTGGTTCGAGAAAACTGAGCATGACAGGCTCCATTCGAAATTTTTAAAATTAAAACTTCACACCAAAATTACGTGTTTCTCAAGGTCAAACCTCCAGACATGACCGACTGGCACAACGTTTGAAATTTACTTTTTTGCAAAGTCTCTTCAATATCAGTTGAAAACAACTTTGAATCGTCAGCGAACAAATAACAACTGGAAAATTCTATCACTCATGCAGAAAAAACTGGAGACATTGGGCTTCATTGTAAGAGATACCTCGAGCGACGCTGGAAATTCATAACAACAACATTTCCACCAAAATCAATTAATTAACAACCTTAGTTTTAACTAGAACCTTTCTGGTCCTGTGAATATTTGTTATCCAAGGCTTTCAGATCTTTGCGAATAAGTCGAGATGTACAACTAAGTTCGTTTGAAGTTGTTTACGGTGGCCGTTCTGTGCATGACTTAATTGACTTTTTCAGATATTAAACCGAATATTCAAATATTAGATGGGGAAAACCGATGTTAACGCTAAATGAGATAATATGCGATCAGCCGCGAAGTTCATGAGAATGAAAACAAAAAGAGACCAATATGAAAGAGTCAGTACGAGAGATTCTGAAGCTTTCACTACTCGAGGTAACGTGAAATGTCTTTCTTTTCACGACAATATATGAGTCATAATCTAATATCTATTTCTATTATATATTTAAATGCTGGCTTCACTATCTCGCCATGTTTACGCATTTTTAACGTACTATTTTTGCATGTTCAAGCTATATCGTATCATGCAATGGTTAAGAATTTTTTTTTCGATTTTCCAATTTGATTTTAGAGGTTATTTTACCGAGTTTAAATTAAGCAACCCAATATCGAATTAGGGGTTGTGAATTTGGCCTCCAATTTTGAATGCCCGAATCATTTTAGTTAACGAGATAAGACATTTTTTGAGATTTTTTCGAAAATTTTCAGAAATTTCAAATAACAAAATAATTTAAAAAACTTGAATTTCCCAACCCTGTAGTTGGGTGCTATCGGAGTACTCTAAGGAGTTACAAATCTTGCCTCCAATTATGACTGTTCAAATCCTTGTAGTTTTCGAGATATGAAGTTTTTTGTGAATTTTTCAAAAATTTTCAGAAAACTTAAATTATTATGATTCTTTAAAAATCTGAAATCCTGTAGTTAGGTCCTGTCAAAGTACTCTCAAGGATTGCGAATCTTGCCTCCAATTATCACTGCTCATTTCTTTGTAGTTTTCGAGATATGACGTTTTTTGTGATTTTTCGAATTTTTTCAGAAAACTTAAATTAATTTTTATCTTTAGAATCTGAAATTCCCAACCTTGTAGTTAGTTCCTGTTAGAGTACTCCCAAGGATTGCGAATCTTGCCTCCAAATATGACTGCTCAAATCCTTTTAGTTTTCGAGATATGTTTTTTGTGATTTTTTCAAAAATTTTCAGAGAAATTAAACTACCTATTTTTCAAAATTTGAAAATCCCACCCTGCAGATCGGTGCTGTCAGGGTACTCTAAGGAGTTGAAAATCTTGCCTCCAAGTATGACTGTTTAAATCCTTGTAGTTTTCGAGATATGACGTTTTTTTGTGATTTTTTCAATATTTTTCAGAAAACTTAAATTAATTAGTTTTTCGAAATTCTTAATTTTGTAGTTGAGTGCTGTCAGGGTACTCTCAGTAGTTACAAATCTTGCGACTGCTCAAATACTTTTAGTTTGCGAGAGTGAAGTTTTTCGATTTTTTTAAAATTTCTCTAAGAACTTATCTAAAAAGAAATTCAAAAAATAAGAAACTACTAACTTGATGGAGATACAACCTTATTCTCAGCGTACACCCAGGCGTCTCAAATCTTGCCTTTTAATATGAATGCTCAAATCTTTTTAGTTGCCGAGATAAGACGTTTTTTTTTTCATTTTTTTTTAAAATTTTGTTTAAAAAATTCACAAAATTTTTGATTTCTAACCCTATAGTAGAGTGCTCTCAGGGACTCTCATTGGTTGCAAACCTGGCCTCCAAATTTTTCCAGAGGCCCATTAAGTTTTCGAGATGACGCTTTTAAAATCGGAAAATTTGAAAGTTCGAAATTACGAACCCTGTAATTGGGTGCAGTCAGAGTGCACTAAAACTTTGCATGTTGTTTCCAATATATGCGGTTTTTCATGAGTTGTCGAAAAATTTCGAAGCACCGAAGGTGCATTAAACGCTAGTAAAGTATGAAATGGATGGTTGAATTTTCTGCGATCAAGTTCATTAGTTTTGTATCGTTAGTGTTGTGAAGGATGGAGTTAAACATGTGTTTCAGCGTAGCGTAGATGAGGCATGCATTCTCTAGATTTAACCCTTTAGGCGAGTAGCATTTTATTACACTTGCCAGAGCAAGTGTCTTGTAACTGGGAATTAGATTTTTTCCCAAACAATTTTTCATACAAATCTTTCTGGCTTTTCTTACTTGCTCTATTACAGAACCTTAACAACTTCCAGATTCGTTCACTAATTGTCTCAGCGGTAACGCGGTTGCCTTTCCTTTGTACCCCTAGGTCTAGGGTTCGAGTATTTTTTCAGTAGTTTCGGGAAAATTGAATTTTCGTTTGTGTGCTTATGCTTTGTAGTCTTAAATGCAACATCGGTAAATTTTCTTGTACTGTCAGCAATTTTTATCGTAGATGCAAGTTTGTTTGATTTACTCCTCTAAATTTGTTTAAAAAAATCGCAGACGTTATGTATTTTCTTTGGTTTTCCGTTTTGTTTTTCTCTTAAAAGTTTTATTCGGCGATTCGGCCTAAATAGGTTCGGCTTATGTTTAATTGGCTTAGCTACTTTTTTTGTTTCGCTTCAAAGCCAAAAACTGGTGGACTTTTTTTTGAAAATTTCCTGTAGTTTGTTTTGCAATATTTCAAAGTTCAAAATTTCTTTAACATTTTTGTGTAATAATTTATTGTGGCATTTTTTGAGAGTCGATGAACATAGTCGAGACACCCTGTATAGTCAAACTCTTTTGGAATGCCAACTCTGAGCAACGAGTTTCAAAACAATGGAAGCGTTCTATCAATTTAAGAATAATTTTCGAAGCCGGCATCTATGTCATATGGCTACATTGTAGCAATTATATCGTATGGATCAGTTGAAAACGTACAAAAGAAAGCGATTAGATGGATGCTTAACTGTTCACTAATTTCGTACTAGCAATGACTCGAAACTTCAGATTTTTGTCACTCTCGTATCACGAGATGCACGATCTCCTCTTCTTTTACAAATTTGCGAATAACAACTACTACTGCAATAGGTGTGACTTCATACACCGATACTTTTTGGTATATAGTGTCTTTTTATGTTTAACAAAATTGTTGCATGTGTTGGAGTTGGCCAGAATCTTTTGGGCTACAAAAGTTCAAAAGAAAAGTTCAGAGATATACTGGAAGTTCTTCACTGAAAAGTTCACAGAGATCGATTTATGAATTTGGTTAATAAAAATTTGGCTTGCAAGTGCTGCATAAGCTCAAATTACTTGGGTATCCGCTAAAACTGTGTTTAACTGGCAAGTCTGAAGCCGTTGCATTTTGTCCAAAATCCTTTTTTCTTATATTTATTATAGTTGCCGAAGATTTTTGTGTTTTTTTTTTTTCGTTTCAGGAAAAGTCAAAATTTGTTCACGCCTACTTTTAATTTTTCGCGGGTCTGACTTCTGATCTATTTTTAAGTTCAATTCATTTTAAAAGGAAGGCAAACTCTAAATTGTTAAAAGGAAGGTAAACTCAAATAGCAAAAGGTTCTGGTTTCGAAAATGGATTTAATTATCAGAATTCAAAGCTGAATTAAAATTTACCTATTGATCTTGTTTTCTCAGTTTGGGTTAAATTAATCAAACATGTGGAAATCATAAGTTGTTCCAGAAACTCAAAGAATTTCAAGGGCATCGATTAAAACTTTGAAATTTGAGTGTTTCAAAAAAAATAAGTTTTCATTTTTTCTGTTTACTGGCGTTCATTAACTTTTTCCAACTGTCTGTTGGCTATGTTCTTGTTTTTGGGTACTTAAACACCTTGTCGTCTCAGTAGTAGCTCGGTAAATACTAAAATTGTATTCATTACTGGTGGTTGTGATTTTTGATAATTTTTCTGAAATAGTTTTAATTTTTTTTTTTTTCGATTTTGTGATTTTCGTCTTTTTTATTCGCTAGCTTGCAATGCTGCGCCTGCGGTGTTGCGCAAGTAATGCGAAGCACTGTACCGTTTCTGTACATTACCCTTCCATCTAATATAACAGGGATGTAATGAGTTTCAAAAGTATTTACAAACCATTCAAGAGTTAAGAAAGTTTATCCACGAGGAAAAGGATCAACATACGAGCTGTTAAGCTCTCTACTGAGAACCACTGTAGTTCCCCCCTGGTTACCCTAGCGAGAGTAGTTTATTAGTATGACTCAACATTACACCCTTGCAAAGCCTATGAAAAAACCGTATTTTCATTTGAAATTCAAGAAATAATGCATGCTCAAATGTGTGTTCATAAGTTCTTTTGAAATCCTGAAATTCCAATTGAATCATGGCCAAGTATCAAAATATTTCATGTGTCGACAAACTACGTTTAATCGAATCGCATTCGGGTGGAGAAGATTATATTGCTTTGGCTGACTGTTTGGGAACAAATCGGAACACTGCGTATACAATTGTGCGACGTGGGAGATATGAGAATTTACCAAAAAATGGATCTCCTCTTCTTTTACAAATTTGCGAATAACAACTACTACTGCAATAGGTGTGACTTCATGCACCGATACTTTTTGGTATAGAGTGTCTTTTTATGTTCAACAAAATTGTTGCATGTGTTGGAGTTGACCAGAATCTTTTGGGCTACAAAAGTTCAAAAGAAAAGTTCGGAGATATGCTGGAAGTTCTTCACTGAAAAGTTCACAGAGATCGATTTATGAATTTGGTTAATAAAAATTTGGCTTGCAAGTGCTGCATAAGCTCAAATTACTTGGGTATCCGCTAAAACTATTTTTAACTGGCAAGTCTGAAGCCGTTGCATTTTGTCCAAAATCCTTTTTTCTTATATTTATTATAGTTGCCGAAGATTTTTGTGTTTTTTTTTTTCGTTTCAGTAAAAGTCAAAATTTGTTCACGCCTACTTTTAATTTTTCGCGGGTCTGACTTCTGATCTATTTTTAAGTTCAATTCATTTTAAAAGGAAGGCAAACTCTAAATTGTTAAAAGGAAGGTAAACTCCATAACAAAATAGCAAAAGGTTCTGGTTTCGAAAATGGATTCAATTATCAGAATTCAAAGCTGAATAAAAATTTACCTATTGATCCTGTTTTCTCAGTTTGGGTTAAATTAATCAAACACGTGGCAATCATAAGTTGTTCCAGAAAATCAAAGAATTTCAAGGGCATCGATTAAAAACTTTGAAATTTGAGTGTTTCAAAAAAAAATAAGTTTTCATTTTTTCTGTTTACTGGCGTTCATTAACTTTTTCCAACTGTCTGTTGGCTATGTTCTTGTTTTTGGGTACTTAAACACCTTGTCGTCTCAGTAGTAGCTCGGTAAATACTAAAATTGTATTCATTACTGGTGGTTGTGATTTTTGATAATTTTTCTGAAATAGTTTTAATTTTTTTTTT